CACTTATCTTTTACCCATTTTTCCACTTATATTCTGGTATTTTTCTTATTATTTTATAATATTTTGTTGTATAGTGAAGATAATTACCAACAAGAGAAGCTTCACTTTAAACAGAGGAGCTGAGCAGAAAGGGATGGAGAGTGAGTACTAATGAGTACAGTCTTTCTTTTTTGGAATGATGAGAATGTTCTGGAATTAGATAGTGGTGATGGTTGCACAACTGTGAATATACCAAAAACCACCACCAAATTGTACATGTTGAAAAGATAAATGTTTGGTATTGACAAAGACTCTCTCCTTGACCAAACTAAGCAGGTTCCTCTGAGCCTTCTCTACCAGAGCTTGTCCTTAGCCACTGTCCTTAACTTCAGCCTGCATAGCCTAATTGAGCAAGACTTCTAAATCAGTTTAGAGAGAATCCCCACCCTGATCTGATCTCCCTGGATTTTGATCAAATTCCTCATCCCCCACCCTTGATATCTAAACCTTTAGCCTGCTTTCAGTAAGAATCCTGTTAAATTAGTTTAGCAAGAATCCTCTACCCTTTATGTCTCTTAGTAATTTTTTATCCACTGACCCCCTCTTCAGAGTTGAGCCTAATCTCTCTCCCTATTACAATAATCCTGAATAAAGTCTTCATTACCATTTTGACATGTGTCTGAATAATTTCTTTAACAGCATATAAATTTTATCTCAATAAAGCTCTTATTCAAGGAACTAAATAGAAAATCTTGTCTGTCTTATATCCATCACTAAATGTGATAAAAGTGCCAATCACACAGTAGTTAAAATACTAAACAATATGTAACTGATTTGCCCAAATCTATATATAATTTTCCAATTTAAGTAAATCCAAAATGATGCCTATCTAATTGGAAGAAAAATTAAAAGAAGAAATTATTATATATAATCACATATGTAAAATCAATCACTGGTAAACTGTCTACATTGAGATAATTTACTCCTTCCCAAATAGTGGTACATATTTCTTTTTTATTTTTCTTACTGGTTTTTTGTTTTGTTTTGTTTTTTGTGGTTTTTTTTTCTTTATTTTTCTTACTTGATTAGCTTTTTAAAAAATTATTAAGTAATAAGTGCAACACTGTAATATTTCAAAACTGAATAGGCGCTTACAGGAAAAGATGGATAATCTGCCATCTCCCTCCCTTCCGATGCACTCTTATGAAGTAATCGATGTTAAGTCTTTTGATATATATCCTTCCGCATCTTTCCTTGTGCTCTTACATATATGGATGAGTTTTTTTTAATGAGTCATGTTACACACATAATAGTATAATTTTTTCACTTATCTATATATGAAGAACATTCCTCTAGATCAATCACAGAGCTCTAATTTATTCTTTTTAATAGCTGCATGTTTCTTATTTCCTAACATTAACAATCATTCAAGAACTCCTTTACTAAAGGACACTTACGCGATTTCTAGATTTTTACCATTATGCTACAACAAATAATTTGAATGTATATACATATACTGACTGAACCAGGAGCCTCCAGTTCTCATTTTCTTTCTTTTTTTTTTTAAGTTTATTTTGAGAGAGAGAGAGAATAGGCAGGGAGAGGGAGTGAGACAGGGGCAGAGGATCCAAAGCAGGCTTTGTACTGACAGAAGAGAGCCCAATTACGGGGCTCGAACTCACAAACCAAAGTCAAACACTTAACAGACTGAGCCACCCAGGTACCCCTCCAGTTATCATTTTCTACGCATTTTTTTTTCAGTTTTATTACAGAGATGTGATAATACTATATTATTTCCAGTCTTTCGTTTTCTATTTAAAATTGTGACATAGAGGTACCTGGGTGGCTCAGTGGGTTAAGTGTCCAACTCTTGATTTCAGCTCAGGTCATAATCTCATGGTCGTGAGATTGAACTCCGTGCTGGGCTCCACGCTGGTGTGGAGCCTGTTTGGGATTCTCTCTCCCTCTCCCTCTGCTCCTCCCCCACTTGCATTCTCTCTCTCTTTCTCAAAAAAAAAAAAAAATTGTGATATAAACATTTCCCCCATGTTATAACTCTGTAAACAATACTTTAAATAGATTTATAATATCATCCATTATAGACTATATCTTTGATTCTGTAATTCCACATGTAGTGACTGAACTTCATGGAATAATACTAGATCAGACAAAGAAGCACACTAACACATCATTTGCTAAAACAAAAATTTGGAAACAACCTAAATGTTAAATTCAAGGAATGGTTAAATAAATTATGGAATAGTACATAAATAATAGTGAATATTATAAAATTGAAATTAGGTATATGTATTTTTCATAAATAAATCATTTTTACAAATTATACCAATTAATTCTCCCACCAGCAATGTACTTACAATGTTAAGTCCATAATAGTAGCTGTTATTATTATTAGGCACTTACTATGTTCCAGGAACTATCCTAAGTCTGTACATGTGTTAATTAATCTGTCAAAATATCCCTAGTACAGGGACGTCTGGATGGCTCAGTAGGTTAAGTGTCCCACTCTTGATTTCAGCTCAGATCATGAGATGAAGCCCTGTGGAGCCTGATTGGGATTCTCTCTCCCTCTCTCTCCCTCTCCCCTGTTTGCATGTATATGCTCTCTCTCTCTCTCTCTCTCTCTCTCTCTCTCTCTCTCTCAAAAAAAAAAAAAATCCCTAGTACAGAATTTATTACCAATACTAAGGTACAAAGGAAGAGAAAATAACTCAAGGAAAACAATTTCACCTATACAAACAAGATAAACACTCTCATTCTGAGTACTCAGCCTTCATATAAGAATTTTATCTTGGTCCCAAAATCATCTGATTGTGTTCAATTTCTTAAGGTATGAAACTCTTTGGAATTAGTTCAAAGGCCCTGAAAAAGAAAACTTACCTTGGCATGCTTTTCATGATTACCTGCTATTGTTCAGGAATTTGCAGTGAATTCAGTCTTAAGAAAAATTACTGTAAAGACATCCAAATCAGTAAGGAAGAAGTAAAACTTTCACTCTTTGCAGATGACATAATACTATACAGAAAAACCAAAAGACTACACCAAAAAACTGCTAAAACTGATAAAGGAATTTAGTAAAGTGGCAGGATACAAACTCAATGTACAGAAATCTGTTGCATTTCTATATGCCAGTAATGAAACAACAGAAACAGAAATTAATAAAACAATCCCATTTACAATTGAACCTAAAATATGAGATGCCTAGGAATAAACCTAACCAAAGAGGTGAAAGATCTGTACTCTGAAAACTATAAAACACTGATGAAAGAAATTGAAGACAACACCAAGAAATGAAGACATTCCATACTCATGGATTGGAAGAACAAATATTGTGAAAATGTCTTTATTACCCAAAGCAATCTACATATTTAATGCAATCCTTGTCAGAATTCCAACAGCATTTTTCACAGAACCAGAACAAGCAATCCTAACATTTTTATGGAATCAAAAGACTCCAAATAGCCAAAGCAATCTTGAAAAAGAAAAGAAAAGCTGCAGGCATCACAATTCTGGACTTGAAGTTATATTACAAAGCTGTAGTAATCAAAACAGTATGGTAATGGAACAAAACTAGATACAGAATAAAAACAGAAATAAACCCACAATTATATGGTCAGTCAATCTTTGACAAAGTGGAAAAGAATACCCAGTGGAAAAAAGACAGTCTCTTCAACAAATGGCCTTGGGAAAACTGGACAAAAACATGCAAGAGAAAGAAACTGGCTCCCTTTTTTACACTATCTACAAAAACAAATTCAAAATGGATTAAAAACCAAAACGTGAGACTGGAAACGAGAAAAATCCTAGAAGAGAGCACAGAAAGCACAGGCAGTAACTTCTCTGACATTGGCTATAGCAACTTTTCATAGATAGGTCCAAGGCAAAGGAAACAAAAGCAAATCAATCAATCAACAAAACGAAAAGGCAACCTACAGAATGGGAAAAGATATTTTCAAATGACATATCTAATAAAGGGTTGGTACCCAAAACATACAAAAAGTTTTTAAAACTCATCACCCAAAAAACAAATAATCCAGTGAAAAAACGGGCAGAAGACACGAACAAACATTTTCCAAAGAAGACTTCCAGATGGCCAATAGACACATGAAAAGATGTTCATTAACATTTAACATCAGGGAAATGCAAATCAAAACTACAATGAGATATCACTTCATACCTGTAAGAATGGCTGAAATCAACAACACAAGAAACAACAGGTGTTGGCCAAGGATGTGGAGAAAATTAACCTCTTGCACTGTTGGTGGGAATGTGAACTGATGCAGCCACTGTGGAAAACCCTATGGAGGTTTCTCAAAAAGTTAAAAATAGAACTATATTATGATCCAGTAATAGCACTACTGGATATTTACCCAAAGAACACAAAAACTCTAATTCAGAAGGGATACATGCGCCCCTATGTTTATAGCAGCGTTATTTACAATAGCCAAGATATGAAAGTAGCCCATGTGTCCATCGATATATAAATGGATAAATATGTGGCATATATACAAGGGAATATTATTCGGCCATAAAAATAATAAAATCTTGCCATTGGAGCTAGAGAGTATAATGCTAAACAAAATAAGTCAGAGAAAGACAAATATTATATGATTTCACTCATGGCATTTAAGAAACAAAACAAACAAGCAAAGGAAAAAAAAAAGAGGGAGAAAGAGACAAACCAAGAGGCATATTCTTAACTATGGAGAACAAACTTATGGTTACCAGAGGGGAGGTGGGGGGGATGGGTGAAACTAACTTGAATTAAAATAAAAAAAGATTACTGTATAATAGGAAGAATATTCTTGACATATTGTAGATACAAATAACCAGAGCCCAGAAATCTCAATTACTGTCCCAAGATTAGAACCTTAATTTCTGAGTTCTATTTATCTTCCCTGGAAGGCACAGACTTGATTTGCTTTAAAAATCAAGGACTTCTGGTAAAAATTTTATAGCACTTTAAAATACAGTACAGCAAATAAACTTAATATTACTTGGACCTGGCAATGATATCATAGAAATGCTTTCTGTTTTCCCTCTCTTTGCCCAAAGCTTCCAAGAGACTGGTGAAAGTGCCTGACTCCTGCAGCTCCTGCATGGTCTTTGTAATTATGTCACTGAAAAACTGCCTGTAAGGAGAAACAAGAAAGAGGAGTTAATAAGTTTCCTTACATTTACAAAGGGCTACAGAAGTCACACAAGTTAAGACCTGGAATGGAAATCAGAACTAAGTTGGAATTACTCCTGGAATGCAAGAATAATTTAACATTAGGAAGTCTATTAATAGAGGGGCGACTGGGTAGCTTAGTCAGTCAAGCATCCAACTTCGGCTAAGGTCATGATCTCATAGTTCGTGGGTTCAAACCCCACGTTGAGCTCTGTGTTGGGCTCCAGGCTAACAATGTGGAGCCTGCTTAGGACTCTCTCTCTCTCCCTCTCCCTCTGCCCTTCACCCATCCACGTTTTCTCTCAAAAATAAATTAAAAAAAAAAAAAGAAAGTCTATTAATAGAATTCATCACATTAACAAAGGCAAAAGGAGGAAAAACCATAAGACCATCACAACAGATGGCAGAAAAGGCATTTGGCAAAACTCAATACCCATTGGTTTAAAAATAAACAACAAAAACTTCGCAAACTAGAAATAAAAGAGAACTTCCTTAACCTGACAAAGTTTACATACCAAGTACTAACAAACATTAAATGTACAGTACAATATTACGTACACAATATTTAAAAACACGTAAAACTAGGGGCGCCTGGGTGGTTCAGTCTGTTAAGCATTCAACTTCAGCTCGGGTCATGATCTCTGTTCACAAGTTCATGTGGGGCCTGAGCTGGCAATGTGGAGCCCGCTTAGGATCCTCTGTCCTCCTCTCTCTGCTCCTACCCACCCCCCAAAAAAATTTTTTTTAAAAACATGTAAAACTGTATGTACTGTTTAAATAAAACACATACATACCTAATAAAAGTATCACAACATGTAAGAGAATAATAAATACCATATTCAGAATAGAGTTCATCTTTGGGGGAAGAGTGAGGGGGACTAGCATCTGAGGCTTCAATTGTATCTGTAGTATTTCATTTAAAAACAAAACAAAACTGGGGTGCCTGGGTGGTTTGGTCCGTTGAACGCTCATCTTCAGCTAAGGTCAAGATCCTGCAGTACGTGAGTTCAACCCTCACATTGGCCTTGCTGTCTCCCAGAGCCTGCTTTCAATCTTCTCTCCATCTCTCTCTCTCTCTCTCTCTCTCTCTCTCCCTCTCAAAAATAAACCTTTAAAATAAAATAAAATGAATTCTTAAAAAAAAAAAAAACCGCTAAAGCAATTATGGTAAAACGTTAAGATTTGGTGCTTACACACATTTAAGTATTCATTATTTCATTATTTATATTTTTCTGCATTTTGGGGTGCTCGGGTGGCTCAGTGGGTTGAACATCCAACTTTGGCTAAGGTCATGATCTCACAGTTTGTGAATTCCAGCTCCAAGTCCAGCTCACTGCTGTCAGCCTGTCAGCACGGAGCTCACTTTGGATCCTTTGTCCCCGACTCTCTGCCCCTTCCCTGCTTGCTCTTTCCCTCTCTCTCTCCCCCGAAAAATTATATTTTTCTGCATTTAAAAAATATTTGAGGGGCGCCTGGGTGGCTCAGTGGGTTGAGTGTCTGACTTTGGCTCAGGTCATGATCTCATGGTTTATGAGTTCCAGCCCCGCATTGGGCCCTGTGCTGACAGCTCAGAGCTTGGTGCCTGCTTCGGATTCTGTGTCCCCCTTTCTTTCTGCCTCTCCCCTGCTTGTGCTCTCTCTCTCAAAAATAAATAAACATTAAAAAAATTTTTTTAATAATAAAAAATATTTCATAATTTTGCAAAACTTAAACCTTTTAAAAATTTTTAAAAAGAGGGGCGCCTGGGTGGCTCATTCAGTTAAAAGCTCAGGTCATGATCTCACAGTTTGTGGGTTCAAGCCCTGCTTCGGGCTTTGTGCTGACATCTCAGAGCCTAGAGCCTGCTTCAGATTCTGTGTCTCCCTCTCTCTCTGCCCTTCCCCCACTCATGCTTTGTCTCTCTTGCTCTCTCTCAAAAATAAATAAAACATTAAAAAAATTTTTTTTGAAGAGCTAATAAAACCCTCACATTTTAGAGATGAGTAAACCCAGGCTCAGGAAGGTTAAATGACCTGCCTAATCATATAACTAATTTGAGAAAGATGTATAACCATATAATTCATACTTCCTGACTCCTAGTCCATTGGTTTCTATAATATTCTGATGGGTAGAGAATTTTAAAAACTGCTTTTTAATGTTTTGATATAGAGTCGGCAAGAATTACACTATTTTACATAATAATCTATTAACAACAGTTCAAAGAAAAAGATTCAAAACCTATATTAAGAGAAAAGTTAAGTATACCAAAGTAAAAAAAACCAATTGAGGGGCGCCTAGGTGGCGCAGTCGGTTAAGCGTCCGACTTTCAGCCAGGTCACAATCTCGCGGTCCGGGAGTTCGAGCCCGGCGTCAGGCTCTGGGCTGATGGCTCAGAGCCTGGAGCCTGTTTCCGATTCTGTGTCTCCCTCTCTCTCTGCCCCTCCCCCGTTCATGCTCTGTCTCTCTCTGTCCCAAAAACAAATAAACGTTGAAAAAAAAAATTAAAAAAAAAAACAAACAATTGAAAAGATATTAGCCATCACATGGAGACAGAAAAGGACATTAGCTAGATTGGGTGTTTATAAGCTGGATACCTTTCTGTCATGCATGCAAATCTGAGCCAGATTGATTTTAACAAGAAACATTACCCCTCTGATGCAGGGATTGGAAAATTTTTCCTATAAAGGGACAAATGGTAAATGTTTTGGCTTTGCAGGCCATAAATTCTCTGTTGCAACTCCTCAACTCTGTTGTTGTAGCATGAAAGCAGCAAGAGACAATATGTAACCAAATGAGCAATGCTGTATTCCAATAAAATTTATTTTCAAAAACAGACCACAGGCTGCATTTGGCTGGTGGCCCTGGGTAATTGTTCTAAGCATTCATTTACCAACAATCCTTACCATCATATTACATCCTCTTTTATTTTATTTTTAAAATTTTTTAAATGTTTACTTTTGAGAGAGAGAGAGACAGAGCACAAGCAGGGGAGGGGCAGAGAGAGGGAAACCCAGAATCCAAAGCAGGCTCCAGGCTCTGAGCTGTCAGCACAGAGCCCAACACGAGGCTCGAACTCATGAACCATGAGATCATGACCTGAGCCAAAGTTGGACTCTCAACAGACTAAGCCACCCAAGCACCCCATATTGCATCCTCTATTAAACTTAACAGGTTTCTTTGTCAGCAAGCCAGCTGACAACAAAAAACTGAATACTGAGACAATGGAAACTGAGACTGCCTTTCAGAAATTCTCGGGGCTCCTGGGTGCCCCGCTTGGCTAAGTGTCCCACTCTTGATTTCAGCTCAGGTTATGATATCACAGTTATGAGACTGAGCCCTGAGTTGGGCTCCGCTCAGAGTGGGGAGACTGCTTAAGATTCTCTCTCTCCCTCTGTCCCTCTCCCCCACTCCTGCTCTCTTTCTCTACAAATACAAAATAATAAATAAATAAATGAATAAATGAATAAATAACTGGAAACAAAGGCTCAACAACTTGCCCGTGATCATATAGCCACCATACTTCCAATTGTACCACAATTCCTCTAGGCAGTCTTTAGCTAATCCTATTATCAGCAGTAGCTTTCCATATAATGACCAATCCATAAAAGACAGCAGTCGACCACCCTTGCACCCATTTTTCATCTGTAATAAATATACTACTACATTCCAAATATGCTCTCCTTCCTTACCTATCTACCTGAATTTTCTTCAGTGTCTCCGTAGACATTATGGTCTGTCTTATAGGTTTTTTGAAGACAAGATCTTGCGTTTTGTTAAATCCGTTGGCCAATTGGCTTCCTTGTCTGATTTCTGGCAACTTGGTTTCTTCTTTAGGTAAGAATGGACTGGTTATTTTTGAGGTTTTTGGGTCATCTGAAAGTTTTTCTAAGGTCTTTCCTTCAAAATTGATTTCTTTATTTTTCTTCTAAAAACAAGAAATAATGTTTTATGTAATACAGATTTTAAGAGTAAAGAAACAATGCTATACAAGAGCCTCTGCCTACATTTTTCAACCTCATCTTCTGCCACTTGTACTCGACACACAAGAAAATTACCCTTTTCTTCAGCCACATAAACCATGTCCTGCTATTTTGTTCCTTCCTGCCCCTAGACAACATTCCTTTTCTGTCTTTCCTCAATGTACCACCAGGTAAACTTTAAGATTTTGATCAAAGGAAAAGTTATTTGTGAAACACCTTTATTAGCAGACATTTACCATATTGTAATTCTTGTATACATTGTATACAATTGTATAATCGTCTCCATCAGATTGTAAATTCTATGAAGGAAGGGACAGTTCTTAGAGATCTTGGTTCCCTGCAAATTCTTTTTGAAACAGGGGAACCTGAGTGGCTCAGTCCGTTAAGCATCCGACTGTTGATTTTGATTCAGGTCATGATCTCACTGTTTGTGAGATTGAGCCCCACGTCGGGCTCTGTACTAACAGCAAGGAGCCAATCTGAGATTATCTCTCTCCCTCTCTTGCTGCCCCTCCACCACTCATGCACGCGCTCTCTGCCTCAAAAGTAAATAATTAAAAAATAAAATAAAATAAATTCTTTTGGGAATTAGACTGGATAATAAATGTGGCCATCTTTATAGTTTCATTGTCTAGAACAATGCCTAGGGTATAGGAGACTCAAAGTGCTCATTGAACACATGAATTTTAAATATAAAGAATGAAAGGAAAGTCATATCGAAGAGCATAAATTGGTATAATTAGTAGTGTGGTATAGATTTTGAAGGTCATGTGGGGAAAGGCCAAAGTAATTTATTTTTCAGACCCAAATTGAACACTAAGGGGTAGGCATCAACCATAGGAAGCATATGTCTTTTAACTGATGATTCCTATTTAATCTGTGGCTAAAAGCTTTAGCTATTGAGAGGCCATACAACATAGTCATTATACCTAAAGACTCTGAAACCAAACTTCCTTATTTGAATCCTGGCTTTATTTCTCACTAAACCATATTGCCTTAAGAAAACTATTTAATATCTCTATGCCTCCATTTTCCCATTGGTAAAATAGGGATAATAGTACCTCCCCTCATAGGGTTATTAAAAGGATTAAATAAATTAATATACATAAAGCATTTAGAACAGTACACAGAACTTTGTGAGTTCTACACTTGTTATGATTACTTAAATTCTTGTGCTGTCTAATGCACAGAAGAAAAGTTTATCTGCACACTGATACACAAAGCCTAGGTCTTCCTTAGCTAAACTTCAACTAGCCCAGAAATGTTAAAAACTATCCATGAATGGTTAATAAACACAGAGTCAACTGTATTTTTCTTTACATCAACAACAAGCAAAGATTCAGATCTAAAGAAAACATCTATAGGCAAGTACAAAACAAAATGCTGCCTTAAATAAGAACTAAATTTAAATATTTTCTTTTAAATTAAAATTAATTTGGCTACAACGAGAATAGAAGTGTAGCATTTCAACAACTGAACTGAAACTTACCTAGATGTAAGGAAAACCTTAAGGGTGGTTTTTATTTTAGATTTTATCTACGTAGGGAAGGGGAAAGTGTAAGGCCTAGGAGGCTCTGTTTTTCCATTTCCCCGTTTTTCCTCTACCTTTATGCTTGGGCATCTGGAAATGGAAACAACTGTGTCAAGCAGCCTGATTTACTGATTACTACAAATAAATATGAATTTTTAAAAGAGAGAATTTAAGTGGGCTAGCTAAATGTTTTAGTTCATTTACTAAAAAATATTTATATCACACACACACTACGTACAAGAGAGGGTATTAGACTCTTGAGACAAAAGGTAAGAGAAACAGTATCCCTGCAGGGAAGCTCTTCCCAAATTTTGGTCCACTTACTCCCACTTCTGGTAGAATCTGATACATTAGTATATTTTTCATCATGCCACTCCATGATTTCACAAATGAAAATCTATTTGGAGATGTCCTTAGCTATAAAAATGGCTATAAAAGAGGGATAATGCTAATTAACCTTTCATCCCAAAGGTGTTCTAAAGGCTAAACAATAAGACAAAGGATTTAAAATATAATCCTATGCCCTTACAGGGCAATGACATTGTAAAATTAATGAGCTAGAAGTAGTATTATGAAGCAAAAAAATTATTTTAAAAGATTCATAATTTTGTAAAGTTGTGGAACTAACTTATATTGAGAAAAGAGCTGTTAAGCTTCTATTAATCAAGATAAGAGTATAAGGCTTTATTATATATATACACTACTATAAAATTACAAGCAGGGTCTCTGTTAAGTCAGAAAATTTTGTGGGTGAAGATCCCTATCATAAACCAGAATAAAATAGTGCAAAAATTTTGTTCTTTAATTTAGTGAAGTAGTGACCGCTGCTGAATTGTTTATAAATTTGGGTTTTTCATTCTCTCGAGTTTCTATGAAGGCAAATTACCTTTTTGTAGCCTGACAGTATCATTGATAAGTCTCATAAAACTTTATCTTGTTAACTAACTAAATATCTTTTTATTTTTGATTCTTACTGAAGGAGACAATAAATAGGGAGGAAACCCCAGACTCTTTACTATTTATTACCTAGCTTAATGTATGAATTAGACTCATATTTTAAACGCATTGAAAGGCTTAGTTCTTGGGTTTTCAGTCTCTTTGCCTTTCATAAATTGATAAGAAAAATTAATTTGTTACAAAATTCCCTGATATACCCATTAATGTAATTTTTCCCCCAAGTTTTTACTTAAATTCTAGTCAGTTAACATATGGTAAAATTGGTTTCAGGTGTATAATTCAGTGATTCATCACTTACATATAACACACAGTGCTCATCACAAAAAGTGCCCTCCTTAATACCCATTACCCATTTAGCCCATCCCCACCCACCTCCCTCCATCAACCCTCAGTGTTCTCCATAGCTAAGCCTGTTAGTGTTGTTTTAAAACCACCCTGAAATTCATAGAATGCTAGCATTAGAAGGGACTATGTGGATCATTTAGTTAAAACTCTATTACACTTTAGGGACACCTGGCTAGCTCAGTCAGCGGAGCATGCAACTCTTGATCTCGTGGCTATGAGTTCGAGTCCCACATTGGGTGTGGAGATTACTTAAAAATAAAATTGAAAAAAAAATACACACACAAAAACTCCATCACATTTTACAAATGGGAATATGAAGACCAAGAAAGTGAAATGAACTGACAGTACACAACTAAACTGCAAAGAGCTCCTGACTCCAAATCCAGTATTCTTTAAAGTAATTTTTACCAAGTTTTTTGAGAGAGAGAAAGAGAGAGAGAGAATGAGCAGGGGAGGGGCAGAGAGGGAGGGAGAGAGAGAATCCCAAGCAGTCTCCACACCGTCAGTGCAAAGCCCGATGTGGGGCTTGAACTTACGAACCGTGAGACCATGATCTGAGCCAAAACCAAGAGTCAGACACTTAACCAACTGAGCGACCTAGATGCCCCTCCAAATCCAGTATTCTATTAAAATTTTGTATAACTTTCAAACTTCAATAAAAGTTTAATAAACCCAGACTATACATATAATGACAATAATTATTATTATTTAAAAAATTTAAGGTGAAATTAGTATCTAGTCACAATAAATATGGACCTCTCTTCCATTAGACATGGAAAGCAATTTACTCTGTTGTTTATGTAGCAATTTTCATCTATAATAGAATCAGAATCGTATATTCTGTACAAATTATATAAAGTAATTTTGCTGAACTGAATAAATGTGTATTTATAAATTCTTTCCATTTTATACTACAACCTAAGTTATTAAAATTTATAAGAGCTTAAGAATTAATGAAAATTTTCTCACTACCAAGTTGAGTTTTTTGATAATTCAATAGCCCTTTGAGGAGGAGTCCATATCACCACTGAAAATATAATGGGTGACATAATGATGTAGCTGGATATCAACAAAGGCAGGTTGCAACAGATTCAACAAAACAACAGTCATTTTAGAATAAAGAAACATTAAGAAGGTCCAACTGAATTTCTTCCCACTACTGTTCAGTTAGCTTTCAGCAGCCAAGAAATACAAGAGGGTGGGGCAATTCAGTAATTTGGCTACTCTCAGTACATACACTGTCTACTGATTTAACTGTAGGCTTTCTTGAATAATGCCAACATATTGGAAGAAAAGGATATTCTGACTGGCAATGTCTGTTGAACTATTGTTATTTCACCCCATCAATTCAGGGTATGTATCTCAGGTAATTATTATAACCCTTTTTATCTCAGATAAAGGTGCTATCTCCCGTGTTAAATTTAATGGCATAAGTACGGTACATGATAGAAAAATAAAAAGGAAAGAAAACAAAAATTAAATAGTGGTGAGTGTATATACCATGTTGACACTTTGTCTTCTCTCATACTGAACTGGTATGATATAGTTTAGAATAGAGAGCTGATCTGTGGTATCCTCCAGAACTGCGGAGATCCTCAGCACATCTAGAATGGAGAGTGGTTCTATGATTTCCGGGATGATTTCTATGTTTGTTTCTTCAGCTGTTTCTTCTTCTTCTTCTACAGCACCAGGTGGCTCGCCTGTCACTGACACTGTCACCTCAGAATGCCAGACTTCTGATGGAAGATTTGAGGCTTCTAATTGGCCTCTAAAGAAAAAAATAAAGAAAAAAAATAAGTCAGCCACCAAATGTTTAAAAATTGCACAAACTCAAAAGCATAGGCAGCATGTAGATTGGCTCCTGTGAAGTCCATATTGTCATATAATATAACCAAAATACAGAACAAAAGTAGGAGTTTACACGTGGCTCTGCTAAATAAATATCTCTCTGTGACATTCTGACCAACCAAAGGCACACCACTTACTGTTTAATAACTCTGTGTAACCCATACTATTTGACTGTGCTTAACCAACTTGAATTTGAACCCAAATTAACTTTTTTTTCTAGCAATATCTTTAGATGCTAACCAAAAGTGTCTCATGATTAATGAAAAACGGAATGTGGCAGGAGCACCTGTCCGGCTCAGTCTGTGGAGCATGTGACTCTTGATCTTGGGGTGTGAGTTTGCGCCCCAGATTGGTACACAGCTTACTTAAAAAAAAAATTAAAAAAAATAACATTAAAAACAAAACCAAAACCAAAATGTAGTAACCAGTCTCCAAAGTGGGTCCATATGAGTCTTACCTTCTCATATTCATGCCCTTTGTCCCTCATATTAATAGGACTAACTAAGCTATGTAACCAGGAGTATGTTGTGGGTTCCAAGGTTAGGTGATAAAAGACATTGCAGCTTCTCCCTTACTGTCTCATATCTTTCACTCTGTGAGAACCCGGCTGCCTTGCCATGAGGACACTTGAGCAGCCCTTTGGAGAAGTTTGTGAGGGTGAGGAACTAAGGCCTCTTACCAATAGCCAGCATCAACTCCCCAGCTGTGTGGGAGTGGATCTTGCAGCCCCAGTCAAATTTTCAGATGACTACAGCCCTGGGCAATTTCAACCTTAAAACAGACCCAAGCCAGCACCATTCAGCTAAGCTGCTCCCAAATTCCTGACCCACAGAAACTATGTGAAATAATAAAAGTTTATATTTTAAGTTACTAAGCTCTGGGGTAATTTGTTACACAGCAATAGATAAATTTAGCATAAGGCATAATTCATACACACACACACACACACACACACAAACTGGAATTTTGAACGTACTTTTCCATTCTTCTTAAGCTACTTTTAACTTCCATGGTACATTTACAATCTCACAAGAAATGCAGTCACCTAAAATGGGAAGAAAACATTGAGATTAGTTTAAGGGAGTGTTGAATGACATTTAAATTATTTCCATCCTTTCATTAAGAGAAAATTAAAGCATTATGAGAGCTGTGACATATCCCCTCTTTTTGCTTATCAGAGCAGTCCCAGCAATGGAAAAACCGCTGACATCATGGGATGCAGGACTACTGAGTAGTCAGTTTAATTATTGACAAATGAAATTACTGATAAATGAAATCTTTGAGTTTGTTCTTATGGTAAATTAATATACAACATGGTTTTCATATTGTATTATATTCTGATTTTAATTGGCAATATTTGTATAATAGATTTATGTTATTCTGCTTACTGAAATGTTTAATTAGATCATTTAATTTCCGATCTGTCAGACAACAAAATTTATTGCACCTGGACTTAGAATACTTGAAATTGTATTTAGAAAAGCTGCATTCATCCTGAAAATCCTGAAAGTAGTTTACTATTACTATCAAGATGTTACCATTCCATAAGCCAAAATCCTTTCCGCTTAAATGAGCTTTACAATAAGAACATCCCATGGAGAATTTTGCTCTATGCTGAATGAATAGTGAATGGTAAGTTTCCAATATGATTTTTTACAAGGATGATACAAGTATGTCTCACACAACAGAAGTCTCATATGCAAAAATGAAAACGTAAAATAGAATCTTTATGAAAACTGAAAACAGGATACCCCAAACTAGCCAAATTTTCTGGTACAAGGGCATTCTTAGGAGAAAGTATCATGGTGTTAAGGAGATTTGGCTCTTCTTTTGTGTTGTTGTTGTTTCTTTATTTTTCCTCTTTTAGGTTTGGGCCATAGGTAAATGTGCTTCATGCAAGTAAGATAGGACTATGCTAATGCAGTAGTCAGTGTGTTCATGCTGTTCTGGCTTTTCATTCCTCAATGCTAGAAATCTAGAAGTCATTCCTGCTTCCTCGTTCATCTTGACACCAGCATTTCCCAATCCAAGCCATCACAAAGTCCTGTGGATTCTTTCTTCTTTTTCTGTATCCCCCAACACTGTGCTGCACATGGCTGTTGTTTCTTGCCTGAACAACTCCAACAGCCCCCAAACTGGAAGCAATATTTTTTAAATGAAAAACTGAAAATCTAAAAAATTAAAGTCAATTTTTTAAAATTGAAAATCTGATCATGTTTCTCCTTAGAACCCTTCCACGGTTTCCCATTGCCTTAGGATAAAAGCTAGAATGCTAAACTTGGCCCATAAGGCCTGCATGATCTGGCCCTGCTCTGTTCCTGTTCAGATATTTACTTGGCACTGTCCACCCACCCCCTTTTTTTTTTTCTAACCAGAACATTTATGTTGTGACTAATCGCTGAAATTCTTGAGATGAACTGGATGCTGCAACAGCTGCCCTCGGGTTTAGGTGTTGTTCCTTCACGGAATCCATGCCTGAATCTGCAGTACACAATTTTTAGGTGAGATCAAATGTTTTTATCTTCCTAGCTCCCTCCCTGATGGATCACCATTGGCTGGCTGTTTCTCTATCAGAGACCATGGCACCTGTCAGGCAATCATCTCCCTGCCCTCTCTTGGAGGCTTAGGTAACTATTTCTGCTCCATGTCCCTGGGGACTGCATCATCCCTTATAGTTTCACTTCTGCCAACATTTTTGCAAGCAGGTCTTTTATTAAATTCTGAACTCTTATCACTGTTTCCATCCAGGGCAATACTGACTGATGCTATGACCTATGTACATAGATTTTTTAATATATTACATATATACGCACATAAATATATATATGTGTGCAAATATGAAACAAGTTTCATAAAACAATTTCATAAAAACAAACCCTTAACATGTGTTATACATTCTGATACTTTTGATTCTGTCATATTTTGCCTAAAAAGTATTTTATTTATTTACTTATTTTTAAGTAATCTATATACCCAAGATGAGGCCTGAACTCACAACCTTGAGATGGGCAAAACACATGAAGAGACACTTCTCCAAAGAAGACATGCAGATGGCTAACTGACACATGAAAAAATGCTCAACATCACTCATCATCAGGCAAACACAAATCAAAACCACAACGATATACCACCTCACACTTGTCAGAATGGCTAACATTAACAACTCAGGCAACAACAGATGTTGGCAAGGACGTGGAAAAAGAGGATCTCTTTTTCATTGTTGGTGGGAATGCAAGTTGGTGCAGCCACTCTGGAAAACAGTATGGAGGTTCCTCAAAAAACTAAAAATAGAACTACCCTACCACCCAGTAATTGCACTACTAGGCATTTATCTACGGGATACAGGTGTGCTGTTTAGAAGGGACACATGCACCCCCATGTTTATAGCAGCACTATCAACAATAGCCAAAGTATGGAAAGAGCCCAAATGTCCATTGATGGATGAATGGATAAAGAAGATATATACAATGGAGTATTACTCAGCCATCAAAAAGAATGAAATCTTGCCATTTGCAACTACGTGGATGGAACTGGAAGGTATTATGCTAAGTGAAATTAGTCAGAGAAAGACAAAAGTCCTATGACTTCACTCATATGAGGACTTTAATATACAAAACAGATGAACATAAGGGAAGGGAAACAAAAATAATATAAAAACAGGAAGGGGGACAAAACAGAAGAGACTCATAAATGCAGAGAACAAACAGAGGGTTACAGGAGGAGGTGTGTGGGGGGGGGATGGGCTAAATAGGTAT